TCATACATGTTTTCATACTTTTAAAATGATGAATATATGTCATTTTGTGGGAAAGCTTAAACCATGAAACCTAAACCCTTAATTCTAAACCCCAAACGGTACGCCATCTTCTTCGCCGTTTGGATCGGATATATCGCAAAACAGGACTCAGGAAAAACTTTCTCTGCTGTACTTCTTTACCTCAAAAGGATTCACTGCTGCGCATCTAGGGTTTAGGGTTTAGAGCTTAGGGTTTAGGGCGTAGGGTTTAGGGTTTAGAGGAATACGAATTTTGCCGAAAGCTGGCTAGGCCTAGATATAATGGGTTTGCAGCAGGTTGAACAGGAGCATTCAGCCTTGCACCCTAACAACTGAAAACTAGACCCTAAACCCTAAACCCTAGACCCTACGCCGTAAACCTTAAACTGTCGTTGCTGCAGCCATTCAACCCGTCCCAAGCCAGATGAGTGCAGTGCTAGATTTGCTCTGTGAATATTAAGCCCATATTTACTTCGTTTTCATATCAGTTCCGTGTTTGTTCAATAATTATTAGTTGGTTTCACCAGCTGGATGGGAGGCTTAGGCGGCTCTGTACCGACTACGTTCAATGCCATTTGCGACAAAAATGAAATTAAAAATTGAATTTTGCCGTTTTTTTTTACAAAATGACGTGTTTAGGAAGCGCAAAGACATCGTAGGTGACGGTTCGCAACGAGCTGACGACTGGATCAGGTGATGAGAGATGCGGTTGTTCCTGTCTCCAACTTTCGGGCTTCCGCTGTATGTTTAAAATTACAAATCATTTAATTTTATTAAAATTTTGGGTAAAACAATTTATTTTAATTAGAGATACTCAAGGATGCAATGATCCTTCGTATCTGCAGAGTTGAGCGGGGCGGTGTCGCGCCATCGGCCGCCTTCCTGTCCTGCACAACCCCGATTCGGATCTTTGCCTAAAGTTCCTCTATGATATTGAATTTAATGTTAAAGACATTTAAATAAAATGGGACAAACTGAAAAGATTTTAGCAGCCTTGATTGGAGGGCTCGCAGCGCTGCAGCCGGGCAGTGTCTCTCATCAGTAACTTCGGTGCCTTTGTTATATCTGCCTTATTCTCGAGCCAGAAATATTGAAAAGAGCAGATTTTATTAACTTTGCATTAATATGATTTTGAATTTTACGGATATGCCGGGAGCGGATTAAGCTGTTTCGAAAACGGAACAGCTGGCCAGACAGAAATCCCAGCCTTGCACTGCGGCTGAAGGCTCCTCCCGCAATTTCGAATACTTTCAGTTCATTAATTGTTTTGAATATACATTATTCTTTGAAAATTGCATAGCATCTGCTTATTGCATATCTGACATCTAGAAGGCTCTATTCTGTTCAATCTTCTGGCTGCTCCGCCCCCATAGCGTCTCAGGGCCTTCTGTGTTTCTCAGCAACCGAAGTCCTCCCTAATGCTAATTTCTTTGAAGTCTCACTGCATTTATGAAAACTAAAAGAAAGGAGCAGTACAAAATTTGGCGACAATTAAGTATGTTGCCCAGTTTCCTTGGGTACTGCGGCCTGGAGCTGCCTGTGGCTCGACGGCGGATGCGAAGGGCAGTGAGAGTGCGTTTGTTGCATTTTTTTGGGTGTTTGTGCATTTACTTGCTATTTCCCCCCAAAGCTTCTTTATTTGCCCTGCGGAGGCCACAAAGATCAGAGGAGCGGAAAAAGGGGAGCTCCAGTGCAACAGCCGCTAGAAGAGCTCGAGCTGCCCCGACGTCAGAGCCCCCTTCCAGCAGGCTCAGGCTCCCGGGGGGGAATCTTTAAAGAAGGAAAGCTACCTCACCCTTAGAAACTCTTTCTGTGGAGGACTTTGGTGCCTTTGGGGCCCTAAGAAGCCCCCTATTGGCTGTTTTTTCTGCTGACTGCCCGCGGTCTGAAGAGGCGTTACGGGAGAACTGCAAAGCGCAGCAGCTGCTCCGGGACTGGGGCAGCCTGACGCGGGTTGTGGCAGTGCCGCTGGGCAAGAGTCCGGAGTTTCGGGAGATGCTGGGAGCTAAGGGGGTCAGGGGGTCTCTTAGGGGGCCCCCAAGGCCCCAGTGCTGCGGCTGTACCCTGGGGGCAGGGCCAGCAGCAGCGTGCCGTTCAGCAGATACAGAGGCTCCGACGTGGCTGCTGCAGAAATTACGTATTGCGTGTTGGCTGAGGAGGGCCGGGCAGCAGAGTTTTCTGCAGAAGATGAAGCGAGGCCCCGGGGGGCGGCTCGGGAGCTGCAGACCTCGTCCATTGGACCAGTGGTCCACGCGCGGGTCCACCGAGGCAGCGCGGAGGCGCTGTTGCTGGCGCAGCTGGCATAGCAGCGGCAGCAGTTGCTGTCGAAGCCGACTTTATTCAAAGTGCAGTTTGTGGAGGCGGCGGACAAGGAAGAACTCCGGGTGTACAGGCAGCTTCTGCCCTTCGACTTGGACGAAGAAACTTTTCTCAGGTCCTTCGAACCCATCTAGGGGCTGCGAGTAGTGCTGGCGCTGCTGCTGGACGCTGAAAACGAAAAAGCGTTTTACGGCGAAGTGCCCGCTGGGCCTTTGCTGAGCCTCCGCGCGCGCTGCTGCCTGTACAGGAGAGTCGTTTTGAAAAATTGCAAGACACCGCTCAGCTGCTGATGGATTTATGAGAAATACAAATCCCAACTGGCCTTCCACATTGCCCGCACGAGCCTCAAAGAGGCCGCCAGGGCCAAGCAGCCCCTGGGGCGGGGCTGTCCTCAAAGAGCTCAGGCCCAACCCGTGGACCTACCAGCGGGCCTCTGGGGCCTTGAGAGACACCCCTCCCTTTTCGCAGCATTCCCTGGGCATGCCTCTTAGCTTGTACAGCCTCGACACCTTTCTTGAGCAGTGGGCCCGGGGGACTCGAGAGCTGCACTTCAGGTCTCACCGGCTAAGGGCTGTGAGCCCAGGGGGACCTGTGAAGGAGCTGAGTCATCACCAGTTCCTCTAGAGTATGCATGCAGCACCAAGGGCCCTTCTCGCAGTTCTTTACTACGAGCCTCGCTGCCCTGGTTGCGAACTCTTCCTCAACGCCTGGAAGGAAGTTGCTGCTGCCTTCATCCAGAAGTAGCAGCTCCGCGGCCGCCTCCTGTTTGCCCACCTCAACGCAGAACTTAATGATCTCATTGACTTCGATCTCAAGTCCAAATTGGCCGCCGTCACGCTATTCCCCGAGGGGCCCCAGCTATTCCCCGAGGGGCCTCAGGCCCTCGAACGCAGGCGCCTCTACATGGGGCCCCCCATAGTGGATATGCTCGGCGATTTTCTGCTCACAGCTTCAGCCCCACGGAAGAAGTCTGAATCTTCAACTTGAACTTGAATTCAAATCCAAAAGGTAGTGACAGAAGAGGCTTAATTTGATAACTCATTAAATGTTGACAGAAAGGGAACTCACAGCGCCACGAAACCGCGGCGAAAGAGTTCAGAAAAGACCCAAAGTCTGCAAATGAGGACGCTGGGCTCTTGGCTTTTCCAACAGAAACGCATGCATGCATTCTGAGCAACAATACAAACTGCTTAAGCAACTGAGTCAAGATCTTATTCCTTTCGTAAAAGGATTGTTTCATTCAGAACGTTTGCGGCTCCTTTTCGAAAAGGAGAAAGACGCCGCTTTTGAACTTTAATTGTGCACGAAATGGAAAAGCAACTCAGAACCCGTATTTCAGCTTGTCAAGCAATCTTTTGTGCTTTGAGTTCTTGCCTGCAGACTGGGCTTCGCTTTAGAAACAGTAGCAGCACCAGCGGCTAGCTGGATGGCTTTCCTTCTGGAAAGAAAATCGAGTCGTCTTTGTGGCGCTGCTGCTAGCTTTAGGTGCATTTCGCGTCGCAGCCAGCAGCCGCTCTCAGCTGTTGAACTACTGAGATTGATTAAAGTTTGCAATTTGCATGCAAGTTTTGAGACAACGAAGCATATTTGTTATCAAAAACCACGAAATACATTTCATTTCTTCTGCCTGGAAAGCCCCAAATTTTGTGTCCTCAGCACAAAAGCTCAGCTCTTGCGACTTTCTGAAACTCTTTCTCCACTTATTTGCCGATGATGTGCAACAAAGGCTGGGCTCAGACCAGAATCAATATTCAAGTGGCAACTTGCAAAGGCCTCCCGTGTTTGCTTCAGCTTCGTGGCATGCAAAAAGGGTCTCTGGCGGCCTGGTGGTAAGTCTTTTTGCATTTCGCAGGCCGCCAGAGGCCTTTCTTGCAAGCAATGAAAGTGAAACAAGCACAGAAGGCTTTTTGCAGCGTTGGCGCGGGACTTGGCTGAGCTAGCTAGTTAGGGTTTTGCTGCAGCAGCATTTTGCTTGTACTGCTGCAGCAGGAAGCAGCGGCGCGCCGGCAGCCCGCACTGCTTCACATTGGCAGAGAGTGAGGCTTGCATGCGCAGCACTGTTTTCTGCGCAGGCTTCTAGGCTGATCTCATTAGGGCAATTTCCTTTCTTCTAAATTGAAAGCGTTTAATGCCACTAAGCAGCTGCAGCCGCATTACAGAAATCGAAAGACACAGGCGCTCAAAAATATTTTAGATTTGCTGCTCGGCGTGAAGCGCAGGTAGGAAGTATTCAGGTGGCCAGCAGCCAGTCCTTTGAAAAGTTGCAACAATCTTATTAAAAGCCATTGAGCCTTTCCAGTCCAAACCACTAAGGGCTATGCTACGAATGTACCCAAAAAAATATTTATTCAAATATTCTGAATGATAACCGTGAGCCTATAGCCCCAAAGGAATTCAAATTCACTTCGGACGTATGGGAAGCAGATGCAGCAGAGGTCACCCATAGCTGGGCCAAAAGTTCACCTCATTAATATTGTTTACTTGAGCAAAGCCCCCAATTAGCAGCAGCAAAACCTTCACAGTTCAGAGACATCTGCGGGTTTTAAGAGCCAAAGGAACGATGCGAGCAGAATAAGATGTTTACATTGCAGAGTTTTTAGGGTTTCTCAAGGGTTTCATGAATCAAAAAATTCAAACTCAATTTTTGACTGCAAAAGGTCTCATTACTTGTCAGAGAGGGAGCCGTTGGTGTCTTTAAAGATTCGACTTAAGAGCTCCCAGCGGCTGAAACGGCCTCGTGCCTCATACTGCCGAAGGCACTCTTGAAGAGCGCTGGGGCAGACAATTCCAAAGAGTTTGACGAGCTGTATGAGTGCAGAGATCGCCTGGTTTTTTTGGGTTTCTAGAGAGACAGCAGCGGCCTGTTTTTTGGCTGCGGCGACCGCTTCCTTCAGGGCTTTGGGGGCCCCAGAACGGGCCCCGGGAGGCCCCTCTGGGGCCTCCAAATAAGCCTCATAGCCCTCACGAAACGAGCTCTTAAGGTCCAAAATTTGCCGCACGCATGTGTCCACCGCCTGGCAAAGACAGTTTTCTGAGAGAAGCTCCAGGAGGCGGCGGTTTGCGTGGAGCCGCTCGAGGTGGCTGTACATCGGAAGCGCCAGCAGCCGCGGCATCAGCAGCGAGTCCGGACTGCACATTTCAAAGACTTTTCTAAATTTCCGAAGGCCCTCTTCTTCATTGGGAAGCCCCCTCTCTGGGGCTATCCAGAGGGAAATGGTATCGAAGAGGCAACTCGCAATCTGGAACAAAAGCCAAGGGCTCTGAGCCTCAAACGGCAAAGATACTGTATGCTGGGCGAAACTGCAGACCTCCTCTTTTTCCTCAGCCTCCTCTTCATTCGTCCTTTCTATTTCATTCGCATTTGGCTGATTGTCAGTGTCTCTCGACCGGCCTGCAGCAATGTCTGCAGCAGAGTCTGCAGCAGCGGTTGCAGCAGCGCCGGCGGCAGCGTCTGCAGCAGCATTTGCAGGAGCCTCTGCAGTAGAGTCTGCAGCAGCCGCAGCAACAGCGCCTGCATGAGCGTCTTCAGCAGCGTCTGCAGCAGCGTCTGCAACATTTCCTGCAGCAGTATCTCCAGCAACGTCTGCTGCAGCCCGTGCAGCACCATCTGCTGCAGCGTCTGCAGCAGCGCCTGCAACAGTACCTGCAGCACCGTCTGCAGCAGCATTCACAGCAGTGCCTCCGTGCTCCTTGGCAGCATCGCAGCAGCCCATCTTGCATGCGTCTGGCCGATTTTGCAGCTTGCTGGGCGGTTGCAGCGCAGCAAGGGTGCCGTAGACGAGGGCTGAGAGGCTGCTACGATCTTCAGCGAGCATGGGAAGGCAGAGGCGCAGCAGAAGCACAGCTTGCTGTTTGAGTTCTGCTGCAGCTCGCAGCGCAGCAAGCCGCAGCTCCCGCCGCTTGCCCAGTGGCATTTCTTCCAGAACTGCGCCGGGATTCTTGTCTGGATAAGTAGCAGCAGAATGATGAGCGTAGTCCATGCATGCGCTGCGAAATAGCTTAGTATGCAGAAACGGGCAGCCCAGAAAGCGGGCCAAGTTCTGAGAAAGCCCCGACAGCAGCAGCAGCTGCTGCACCGCTTCCCCCCAATTCACATTTCCCAGGCCCGGCAGCGTCAAAAGTTCTGTCAGGGCTGCTAGGGCGTCTTGCGCGTCTTCGGCGCATTCCACTTCCTGCAGCAACCGCAGCAGCAGCTGCTGCAGCACGCCGGCGGCCGCTGCCACCGGGCAGTCGAGGAGTTTCCGCATAGGTTCTGATTCCTCGGCTTCGCCGTTTTGCAGTTCGGTGCTGCTGCTGCTGTCTGCTGCTGCTGTTGTTACTGCTGCAGTCCCTGCAACGCCCGAGCTGCTGGGGCGTGAAACAGCGGTTGGACAGGCCGATGGGCACTTTTGCTGTGGCGTCTGGGTCCCAGCGTCTGTGCTGCTGCTGCTGCTTGCTGCGTCTAGCTGCGCAAGGCGCATCACCAGCCGCAGAGCCGCCCGCCTGCAGCTGCGCCTCGTGGCAGCTTCCTCTGTTGCTGCTGCACATTGCTGCAGCCTTCCGAAAAGAACTTGAAAAGTTTTTTCTTCAAGGAGGCGGCAGCTGGGCAAGTGGATTATGTAGGTGCTGAGAGCAGCTAAGTTGGCCGGCGGGATGCCCCGTAGAATGTCCACTGCGGCCCACAGTGTGGCTGCGTCGCTGTGGGGCTGCGGCGTACGCCTTGTAGCTTTGCGGCAACAAGCCAAGTCGGTCATTAGCTGCTGCAGCTGGGGCTGCAGCTGGCTGTTTTCTGCTCCTTCCAGACACCTCGGAGGTGCTGCTAAACAGCAAGTTACACTGAGCAAATGATGCCAGGTTTCTTCCGAAAGAGTTTCGTTTTGCCCTCGAACTCCAGACACCAGAACCTGCACAAGCTGCGTCAGACCCTCAGCAGCAAAACGCAGATACGGCTCTTGAAGCAAATGACTAGAAGAAATCGCCTGGGCAATTTCAGGCAAAACTGGCCCCAGGCGGCCCAGGCCAAGGCTCGGGTCGGCGGCTTTCTTGAGAACCATGAAGGATCCTTGTAGCATCAAGGCCAGACTGCTGAGCGTTGCAACTTGAACTTGAAGTTCCTCGAGGACATTCTCCCTTAAAGCCTCCTTTGCAACTTCCCAGTAGTTTTCCGGGTCGGCAAAGGCCCCCAAGAGCTGCAGAGCCACTCTGTGCGACTCCACTGCTGCTGTTGCATGCTGCTGCGGCGCCGCGAGGACTCTGCAGCAAATTGCAAAGCAGCTGTCGAGCCATTCCACAGCAGCTTCTTCTATAAAGGCGAAAGAAACCACCAGGAGGCGGGCGGAAGCGGTTTGGGAGACTTCTTTGAAGTCTGAAACGGGCTGAAAAAGGGTTTTTGCAAAACGCCGGAAATATATCCGAACCATAGTGCGGGCTCCCAGGGAGGGCCTGGGGGGGTCGCCCACGAGCTCCTCGCCGGGGGCTGTGAGTTGATTTTGTTTGTTCTCAACTAAAGAAAATCCTTCGATGCCCAGAGACTGCAGGCGCTCAGTGTAGGAGCTGACGAAAGCAGCAAATTGCTGCGCCTCTTCGCGCACTTTGGCAGCGCCCGAAACGGCCCAGCAGCCGCCCAGGGGAAAAGACAGGAAGGCTTTTCCCCCGTAGCTCCACAAGTCCGGAGTGCCGAGTTGCTTGATTTCCCTCAAATCCTTTTCGTGAAGTTGCTCGTAGTGCCTCCCGAGCCGCTCCAAAAGGAGAAACACGAGCTGCTGAATGGGCCGGAATGAATCAAAGAGCCCGCTCAGCAAGTAAGGGAAGAGCCAAGTTTCGTAGTCCGCCTTATCTTGCAAATTGAGCAGCCAGTAGCAAACAGTGTCGAAGAAATACATACGCACCAGCGGCGAGCGGTCTGCCAGCAACTCCGCGAAGTAGTTCCTTATGGTTGTGACTTCGTACAAACTCTTGATCGGGACTATGTTGGGGTCCCGCCAGCCAGCCAGCATGTGAACAATTTCGCCGTTGTACTTGTACAAGCCACAAGAAAGCACCAGTGTGAGTGCGCGAAGAGCTCCCATTCGTATTCGCGAGTGCTGGTGCACAAGACAGGAAAGAAGTGACCTCGCCAGCGGCTCAGTGAAGTGCAGCAGCATGTTTTGGTGCCGACTGCAGAGCTCAACGACGGCTTCCAGTGCCAAACACTTCACCTCAGGGCACAAATCCATTGCGCCGGCGCGCAGCAGGCCTACGGCCAAGTCTAGGTGGCTCAAAACGGCTTCATCTGAACTTCTGTGCAGCACCAGCTGAAGCAACTTGAACAGACTCTGCCGCATTTCGTCGCTCTGTTCTATGGGAGTCAGCTGCAGGGGCTTGTACTCAGGGTCTGGGCGCATCACTGGGGGCAGGTGAGCCACTCTTTCAATGTCTTCGGAGCCAAAGCGGGCAGTCAGCGCCCGCAGCACTTCTCCCAGGGCTTCGTCAACTGCTGCTGCTTCGCAGAAAAACTTAAAGAGAATACTGGCTGAGAGGAGCCGCGCCTTTTCGGCGGGCTCCGAAAGACACAGCAGCAGCGGATCCAGCAGCAAAGCAAACGCTCTTTTGTAAAAAAGGCTGGGCACTGAGGCGTCCACAAAGACCCGCTTCAGCGCCTCAAGAGCGGTGTACCTGCGGCTGCTGCGGCACTCTTCCTTCAGTACATTTGCCTGTCGCTGCACTGTGCAGGACACAGACTTCCAGCTCTCAAGACCGTAGGCTGTTCTGCTCCCTGGCGATTGCGCCGCCAATTGGGCTTCAGCACTCTCTCTGTGTGAAATAAGCTCATCTGCAGGTTTTTGCGGGGGTACTGCAGAGCTCTGGTGAACGCTAGTGGCCTTTTCTTGCGAAAGTTCATTTTTCTTGACTTTTGGAATCTGGAAACTGGACAGGGAGCGACTGCAGTTCGGCGGTGCTGCGCTCCAGCTACATCCCGACTGCTTCAGTTCATGCCACACTCTGTCTACCAAATCCATCGTGATGCCGAACTTCTGCGTTTCAAGAGTCCAACTGCTGCTTTCGCGAGTCTCAGCCCTCTGCTTGCTGCTGAACTAATTCTGGCACCTCAGGGGAACAACATCCAACCTAGTTCAGGGGGCTATATCTGGCTCGACCACCGCAGAAGCCCGAACGTGTAAGCAATAACTAAAACTTTTTTCAAATCAACATTGACCCAATGTTGAAATGTCATGTTCGCCTCTGTTTGCCGGTGAATATCTACTCGTGTGCAGCGCCTTCAGAAAGAAACGCCTGCCACCCTGGCAGAGGCTAGCTCTTTACTTGGTGAATATGTTCTAGAAACTACGAGTCATATTCTGAGAATTTTCCTCGTTTCAACGAAGAATCCTTCGTTCTTTCCTAAAACAGTTGTGTAGCAAAGGCAGTACACGGCAGCACAGAAGCACCACTAGGTGCGTTCGCGCGCTGAAGATCTGTTCCCACTGAAACAACACACGAATAACAGCATATGTGCCTTTGCCTGATGATGTAAACATTTTATCTTCCAAATCAGTTGTAACTTGGCGAAGCTTTCCCCGAAGCTTTTCGTCCGCCCGATCGCCACAGGGCTGTTCCGGCGGTCAGCTTCCTAAACTGCTGCCAGTGTCTCCCGTCTCATGTCCACGCAAATGAATACCAAAATGAATACTAAGGCAATCACTGTATTTTTTCCAAAGATATCCCCCAGTTGCTCTAATTCTTGTGTGACGCTGTGCGCACTGATTTCTGAAAGCATAACATCTTCGGTAGAACCTGGAACATACCACGCTCGAGGGCCCCTTGAGAGCATGTATGTGACTGCTGTAAACAAATCCCTAGTCTCGACAACGCGACAAACTGTTCACGTCGCTTCTAAACCTTTCGCAAACTTTCTTAGCTGGTGTTTATATATTTTGAGAGTTTGACATTGGCTCTAATAGGCCCTTCTGAGGAGTTTCCCACCGGTGTGTGATGGCGGCCCATTGCCCGCTACAGTAAGCGAACAGGGAAGCGGCAAGCAGAAGTTCTGCTCTGACAGCATTAAAGATCTCACGGGTAACACAAAAGCGACTCAACACCTTAATTATTGCGCCAAAAATGCACGCTCTACACTCCCTAATCTTAATTGTCATCATTGCCGACGCCTTCCTTGAAGCAAAGACTTCAGAAGACGAATTGACGACCGCAAGCCATTTAGGAGGAACACCTCAAGCTGATAACCCCGATATTTCGGTCTTATTGAGACGCTGGCCTGGAGTGTTGCCTGCAGTCTCAAGCCTCGCCCTACTGATCGCGACGATTGTTGGGTTTCTTGGCATTCGTCGTTACAGTTCAATCAAAGGTCACGGTCCTAACGAAACGCCCGGACAACACAAACGCAATATTGCAGAAGGCGGGCAAAGTCCTTGCCTCGTAAGCTTTAGTCTTTTGAGTGACGTGAGAGTGTTTAGGAGCGACGCGCTGGCGCGACGCGCCAGGTCACCAATAGTTACTAGTATCAAATGACCGCTCATTCTGAGCGTGACCTAAGCGCGAAGTTGATTAACTGCACTCAAAATGCTTTTCCCAGGCTCCTAGGTATCTCGTCGCATCCCGTACACTCTTGCTACGGCGACATGCCGTTAATGGAGGCTGTGGTTAATGTATCAATCCTTTCTTTTGTAAAATGCGTCTTAGGAGACTGAGATTTGTGACTTCATGTCGTGAGTCGAGGGCTTCGTGTGTAGCACATGGAATCGCGCCAGTGCGTTTACGTATCCTTTTTGTGTTGCGCTCTCGGCCGATCAACTGTTCTATTCAATGGGACGTATTCCGACAAGAACTGACGCTTGTGAGTCTATCGTGTGCCTCGACTGCTTTGCGTGTGACTTATGGAGTTCGCCAGTGTATTTTGTGAACAAGATTGATTTCAGTCGCAGTGTGCCTGCAGTGTTGGTGAGATTAGTGTACAGGTAGACCGTGTAGAGGCATGCAACCGATGATGATGACGATGCGCTGCGTCTCCCTGCGAAGCACAAAGCCGCTTCTCACGCTGCGCAGGTGGGTTCTTTGAGAGCTTTTGCTTGCATGTGTGTCTCGTACACATACTCTGTCAACTGGTTAGCTCGCTGGGGGGCATGTTGCACTCACATACAATATACAGCATAAACAGACGTGCGGAAGAGTGAGCCAATGTTCCTTGCCCTGTCGGAGGGATCTTTTTCTCTTTGAGGAGAGAGCGGATGTCAGTGATTCAACGGGGTTGTGGTCATAGTGCGGCGTGACAGTGACGTCCGTGCAGCTGCTGCGACCAAGGATGCTTGTGGTGCTGTGGATGGGTACAACTTTTGCTCATAAGTGAGCACTTCTCATGGGTTTGCGCCTTTAGCATGCGTATCTCTGCCAGGCATAGAGCCCTAAACATGTAACCGAGGTCCAGGAATTGGCGGACTTCTGTCCCTGTGAATGGGGACTTTTTCTGACATTCTGCTGCTTGCGCTGGGGTGGTCGAGTTTGCTAATGGAGTTCGTGTCAAAGCGTAAGTAAACCCGAACTTTACTGGTGTGTACCACGGCCAGGCTATACAGGGTGTCCGCGCTGCTCAGCACAGCTGTACCCTAGGGATGCGGCTGGGTGGGTGTACCAAGCTTCAGTTTTATGTAGCACTCGAAAATGTGAACTATGGACCGTCATGAACATGATGTGCATGCGTGCCGCATTCCCCCAGCAGCCCTGCAGGCTGTGGTGGCGGGATTCTGCATGGCAGTCATGTTCATGTGTTACTGTGCCTGGAGCAAATGAAGGAACGTCTTGTTTAGCCCTAGTGCTTGCTTGTAAGGGTGATGAGAGCTGTGGGCAGTGGCAACACAAAGGTAACGCGGCGCATGCGCGTTCGTACATTTGTCGTGAGGAGACGAAACCTGTACCGCCACGGGCAAATAGCCTGTTGTTCGACTGCCTGAGAGTAGCTTTGGTGCATTTGCATTGGGGCTGTGGGCATTTTGCGCTCAAGCATGAACGGCCATGGAGGGTGTTGTTTGGTGGGCTGCGAGTAGAGCATCATTGCTGGGTTGAGAGCGCGGCGACGGTCGGGCAGTGCTTTGGTGGTTGGTGCGCAAATTCTCACCAGGCGAAGTGCGACCAGTGCTTTCTCGCTTTTTGTGTGTGTTTACGCGATGCAACGGAACCTGTGTGCATCGTGACTGGGAGCAGCATCCTAATGTTTCTGCTTTCAGTCATCCTTCATTTGATTGCTTCCCGCAGTGGCGTCAATTTGCCCGTGCACCTGCCCTTCAAAAAGTGGACAATACCTTCTGCGGAAGGGAAGCGGGGCAGCAGAGCGTGATAACACGGGGGCGTTTCGTATCATGTAAACAACACTGCATGTGATGATGACTGGTTAATCCAACTCTAACAACTTTACATGTCGAAAGAACTAATAGTGGCGTGCGGTTATTTGAGGCTCTAACCTTTTGCCACGCTTGTGACACATGGAGAAGTGTCCGTCAGTCTATCGATACACAATGCAGCACAGTGTCTTGTGTAAACAATTTGCGTCAGGCCTTCCACAACTCCAAAATATTTTGACGGCCATGCGCCGAAGCTTTTTTGGCCTTATAGCGATGCATTGAGTTCTAAAGTGTTGTGAATATGGTACAGATTTTGGAAGGAAATCCGTTTGACGGCCAGGCGAGTTTCAGTGCATGGCGTGCATATTCTAACGTTAACTTGTCCTGGGCAGAGTGGTTAGTCTGTTTGGTTTGTGCGGCCTTGGCGGTGCTTGGGCAGACGCGCCCACGATGGATGGCAGTACGTCCGTGTAGTGCTTTTAGTTCGTGATCGTGATAACACAGCACGGCTGCATCTCTGCTATGCTAGTGCTTAGATAGTCGTTGCTTTTACGTTGCAGGACGTATTCATAGCGTGCTGTGCGAGAGCGTTAGAGCAGCGCCGCATGCGTGGCGCATGAGTGTGGAACGTTGCGCGAATGAGAGCGCGGGCAGCTTTTGTTGTTTCGTTCGCCGCGATATTATTCACACGTAGAGGTTGTTTTTGTACCTGCTTGTGCTAATGTACTTTTGTTTGTTGCGGGGATGTTTTCCAAGAGCAAATGCAAGCCACGTGTTGCTCGCAGGCCTGTGTTACGCTTGGGTAAGGAGAATGTGGAGTTGAGTAGTAGGGCGTTGTGGTGATCGCTTTTGGCGGCGTACTTGTGCGAGGTCTTAACAGTGATACTGCTGAAAGAGTGTTGCGGAGAGTTTGCGTGGGTGTTCTATCCCCGGTGGAGCTATGGAGTGATGCAGTTAGAGGTTTTGTCGGCTGTGGCGGATCATTAATGCAAAAAGGTGATGCGTTTGAGAGGCAGGCAGGTTTGAGCGGGTGGCGTGCATATTCTTACTCTCTTTGTCCTGGGCAGAGTGGTTAGTCTGTTTGATCTGTGCCCCCTCCATTGAACTCGGCAGACGCGCTTATATTACATTAGAAGACTCTTCTGTCGCTTGTGGTGTTATTGTGTGATTACGATTGCATTGGGTGATTATAGTGTGATTAGTCTTGATCCTGGTTTTTACCCGCTGCACAGAATATAAATCTAATGTGGTTTGTTGTGCTGATAGAAAAGTGAAGCGTGCTCGGACTATTGTGGCTCTGTATCAGGGCAAATACGCTAATTTTTGCCTAGCATGTCACAGACGTGCTCACGTGTTTCCATTAATGAATGGACTCATTTTTTCTCTGCTTCATCGCATTTGCCTGGCTACCAGGGGAGGGTTGAAAAGATGAGCGATGCCGTGTGGGGAAGGGCTTACTGGCGGTCAACTGTAAAGCAGTATTGTCAAACCTGTTGCGCAGTTGCAGTTGCAAATCGGCATTGAGGCGCTCGTGTTTGGCGGGCGATTAATTGTGATGTTCAGTTGGCTTTTTCATACCTTGGGAGCTGAGTTGAAGCATTTTACACGCTCTGACGCTGAGTGAGGCTGTACCCTTCGTTGCTCTTACACTTTATTTGCCACACAGACAC